CCCCCCCCCCCCCCTCCCCCCCCGATGTTTGCCATCGAGGTTGGGTTTTTGTCGCTTGGCAACGACGTTGTAGAACATGCCGCCCCCCTACGGTGTTTGCCATCGGGGTCGGGTTTTCGTCGCTTGGCAGCGATGTTGTAAAACAAGTCGATCACTTCGTGAGCTCGGCAACCAGGTTACCTCTTCTTTTTTTTACCTCTGTTTTTTTTGGGCGGTAACCAAAGAGGTGGTCGAGTAGATCATGTTGTGCGGGGTCGAGAACCCTCGCTCCGCGCACGGGGGATAATCGCACCACGTTGTGTTTAATTGGTCAAGCACCCTCGCGGCAGTTACAGTGCTTACAACTGTCTCTGGAAGTGAAAGCAGCATCAAATAAATTTAGTCGTACGCAGCTGTCATCCGTACGCAAGGAATTAAGCACAAGATGCCGAACACACATAGCAGGGTGCAGCGCACCCTTCATGCGACTCGCCGAATACCTCACGGCGCTTCGCGCTTGGTGATGTGAGAGCCTGGTCCGGTGAGAACCCGGCGTGCTCCGTCCCGGCTTTGTAGGGATGCGAAGTCAATGGTCTAACGACTACGGCATGAGTACAACCCCCCCCCGTTTTCCTGCCCCCCCTTACTCCGGTTCGTTCCCCTCCTCGACAGACCAAGTCGGGGGCTGCGATCACGTCCTTCCGGCTGTCGGGGCTTTGCCTGCTCACGACCAGCCTCTTCGACACCAGCGTGCTCATGACCAGCTTTTCGCAGCGCAGGGGTGACGAGGGCAAAGGCTCGACCTGAAGAAGGCGATCAGACTCAAGAGCATCAGCAGCGGCGGCGGCAGCGATTGCACGAGGCTACGGCTGGCGACCCCGCACCCATGAATGGCAGCGGCAGCTGACAGGTGTTGTCCCCGCCACCTCGACATGACAAACAACACTGCAAACACCAGCAACGAGAGGTTTTTGCAACAACAATGCCAGTACAATTTCCTCCTGAACCTGAAACCTACCACTTTGTGGCGGAGTATTTTTAGCGGAGGAGAGGGCGTCCCGGGGCGTCCAAAGCAGGGAGTGCCACCCGAAACGGTTCGACCGTGGCCGCGAATATGGTTTCTTTTCGTCCCGAAACGGGCCCGAACTCGACGCCTTTTGGCGCACCGGGTCCACTGCATCAGATCTCACCAAGTGTGCTCTACTGGGCGGTAGGGGGGTACGTGTGTAAGTTTGTCCTCGATGTAGGCTTCCCTCTCTGTGCTGCTTGCTGTTACAGACTCCCTGTTGCCTGTAGAAATTGCTGTACACGCACAGAGTTCTTTTTTGCGCCGATGCAGCAGGCGATCGCGATCCCTGAACGACAAGTTATATTTTTTTGTCCTACGGGGTATGGATGGTGGTTTTCGGTCGTTGTACATATGGAGATCCCCCGGCGGCTGTGTGCATGTTTCATTGACCCGTAGGGAAGGAGACTTGTGTTGCCGCGCGCAGTGTCTCTTTCCGTGCTTATTGCTTGTATCTTGTGCAGTTGGACAGCGGCGCCGAGGTGGCGGGTCCCGCACTGCCAGCGCAACTAATTGCGGCTGACGTGTGACGTGACCTTGGCTTACTATACGAGGCAGCAGCATCAGCAGCAGCAGCAGCGACACCGGGAAAAGCTGTGAATAACTGATTTCAGTGATGTCGATGAAACTACCTATAAACGCTTTGTCTTGGGCGTGTGTCGGGTAAACTGTTGGTGATGGTCGGGGTGTACTCGGCAGGTTTTTTGTGACAGTTCTTATGTGGAGACTAATGTGCATTATTAGGCGTTCTTCTATATGTAGACTTATCGTAATTGATCTCGATTTCGTCCTTTTTGACTTGCTTGTCTCTACGGCTAGTGTCAAGTGTTGAATGCTCATTGGAGACGTCGTTGCATCTGTGTACAGAGTAGATTGATTTGAAGTGCTTTGCAGTTGTTTTTTTGGGAGCTCCCACCCAGTCAAACAGATCCCTCGGCTGCGTACATTGACCTTACAGATTGCCGGAGTTCGACCTGCCGCCCTTCCTCCCTCCCGTTGCGGACACGCGTGGATGGCGAGTTGGGGATGATTCATTCGTAGGAGGGAGTTGTGCTCTCATGTGTACATGCGTGTGCCACTCTTTGTACGGTTTTGTTGGTGTTGTTTCAGATGTACAGAAGAAAATCTCGCAAAGAACGAATCGCCCATGGCCGACTTTCAAGCCCGGTCATAGTTACTCCACAGCCGGGCGTTGGCGCCGACGTCGAAAAGGAAGGGTTTTGGCAAGATATCTCGCCGAGACGAGCATTCCTTGTCTAGACATCATCGGTGAAAATATTGCAGCAATCGGCTTTGAGAATCGGTCTACTGTAGCTAGGGCGGCGTCCTTTGTGAGAGCTGTAGGGTAGGTCACTCTGTTCCTCGCTTGTACATACAACGTGGTCGGCTGTACACGGTAGGATGCTCTCTTCCTTTGGTGTATATCGTAGTCGTATAACTGATCAACAAAATATAAAATGGTGGCGGAGTCATCGCTCGACAAGTTCTTGTTCTTGGGAAGAAGACTCAGTACTCCGCGTGAGGGCCAGGCCATCGCGAGTACCGGTGCCCGTGCGGTGATGGTCGAATGAAGTGCTAAGACAAGGGCGTGTGTAACTACTCTAAACCCCTGCTCTGTCCAACGGTCGTGTTTCAGGCAAGAAAGCATAAACGCAGGAGAGCATAAGTACTAAAAGTGTATTTGTGTTGGTTCGGTGTGATGGGTGAAAAGTTGCGCGAGATTACTGAAGGGGACTCAACACTCCACGTGAGGGCCAGGGCGTCGAGTATGGGGGGGTATATACAAGGGCAATGAAGTGCTGAATGATACAATACAAGTTTCGTGAGATTACTGCATGCTGCACGCTTGGGAACGCCGAGCGTACGAGGGGCGAATGAAGTGCTCCGAGTTGGCCCGCTTGGGACACGCGTGTTGTTGTCAAGTTCGTGTCTTGTGGGTTCATTTGTGCTGCTTTATCTCCCGCGGGACGCCGTCCGTCAAGCGACTTCACATACCAGACTCCCCCGCCGCCGGTGCCAAAAAACAACGGCCCCACAGCAAGCAAGCCTTCACAAAAAGAGTCGAGGCAGGGTCGCGTGCATGTTGCTATGCACCTTTGATGTTGGCAAGCAGAGCATGGGGGGAGGGGGACCCCACTTCAAGACAGCAGACCCAACACCTTCCAGAAATGCGGAAACTGCCATCCGGTCGTCCAGTGGGCGCTTGAGCTCGTCCCTTTGCTACGAAAGGCATGACGATACCAAAAACGCCGTCTCTGCGGGTCGAGTAATAGCCGCATCTGTTGATCGTTCGTCCGCTGACAACAGTGTAAAGAGTATTTTCGTACACACACGAACGTCTACCGCTTGTCAAGGAGACAGAGAAGAAAACGGGAGGCCGCGCTTCACTCATATCTAAACCTGACCCCAACCCTAAAGCCACACCGGTGTCGGTCTTACAAGCCCTGCTGTGAATTTCATCGCTTCAGCAGTTCACCTAGTACCACTGGGTGCGGCGGTGCCACCACAGAGCAACCACTGATAACTTTACCGCCGCTACACCATCCTCATGGACGGCGCTGAGGAGGTCCCTCGCCACTGCTCGTCGAGGACGAGGGAAAACCCGCTTCTTGTCCCCGCCGGGCCGCCGCCGCTCTTGTCGCCGCCCGTCGTAGCGACGTCATCCAGGCACAACCGCATCGAGCCCTCGATAAGACCCCCGATGACGGGCTTCAGTCTCGATCCTGTCTATATTGCAGGTGCACCATGGAGTGAACGAAGGCGCGAAAAAAAAAAAATGTTCGTAAGCCCATGGGTTGCTGGGACCGCCTTCGCGGGAATTTCAGTATGATCAGGACATAGAAGAGGGAGGGGGTACGCAGACCCTACTCCCTGACCCAAGTTCTCAGATGGAATGCTTTATCCAACACGTTTCCATTATTTGTACCGACAACCCTGCCAAGGATACTGGGTTGCTTTTACTGGGCACGGTAGCGGGGGGGGGCACACAGGAGCAGTTGCACCCAGCACAAACGAGCGGCTGCGGTATCGCGTACTCGCGGACGGGCGGATACATCTCTGCACGACGAAAAAAACATTTTTCAAGTTCCAGCCGGGCGTGTTCATATCACGCTGTTTGTTCTTCACGCCAAGGCCACAGTGGCGGAAGGGCAACAAGGCACTGCGATGCCTCGACACAGGGGAGAAGTCGCCGCAGAGAGGAAATAGCTGCAGACCTGCATGCACGCACAACAACAACATGATGAAAGGCACACCTGCTTAAAGTCCGGGCCCGGGTTAGCCTCGAGCAGCCACACGCGGAAGTCCTCGTCCACCAAGAAGTCCAGGCCGAAGTGCTCGAAGCAGCCGGGCAGGGGGGAGAAGACGGCGAACTCTCCTCGAAAAGCCTGGGGGGAAAGCGGCAGGCATACAACAACGCCGCCGCCGACGACGACGATAAAATCATTTTCTGCTTCGTTGCACTACACAAGAGCGATCCCAAAAGCTGAGCTCGTTCATTTTCCAAGGCTAGCTTGTATTTCGAGCCTGCGCTCTGCGTGGCTGTGGGTTCCTCGGTCTACCGTACCCGCGAAAGGACTAAACGCCGTCCCCAACCACCACAGTGCTTGATGTGTTATGTGGAACTCGAAACTAAACCCTCGCTGGCGTGCGGATTGTTCACCTCTCCGGGAGCGGCTGCGAGGGAAACAAGCATCGTGCGTCTCCGTGAACCAGGTCAGGCTTCTATCCTGCCAGGCATACTTCGTCCTTCGGGAGAAGAGCAATCGCGTAAGGTGGAACACGACGGAGAGAAGGAGTGGCGTGCACAAACGAACGCCTACCTCGTTCCTTCACGGTGCAGGACACGATACTATTCAGGCAGAGAAGCGGCGCTGACTTCCTGCCTCGCCAACAACACACGTTGCTAGTGCGACGGGGTGCTGCCGGTGTAGTAGAGTAGTGACGGGATGTGCCCGACCAGCAAAGGCGGAGCGCCATCGATCGACGCTGGCCTAAGAGTGAATAACCAACTTTGAAACCACAACGACGCCGAGCGATTCCACATCCACCATACAATCGCGATGGCACCACTCAACCATCGCTACGGGCCCGCCAGCCACCGACTCAGTGCTTTCTATCGAAGCTCGGTGGTTCACACCGCGGCGCGCGTTGGTTGCGCGGCAGCAGCGGCTCGCGACTCACGCTCTCCTGTTTGAGGCTTCTCACCCGGAAAAGGTCAGTGGAAAGCGACCTCATGTCCGCCATTATCCCGTCCACCTTTGCCCGGGCGTCCTCGGGGCTTCGGCCCTGCCTCTCCAGTTCCCCGATCAGATCGTCTAACACCCACACGCTGAACACAGAACGGGCGGCATAGCGGAAAATTCCACGAACGTCATAACTCATTCACATATCCAACGGCGGCGTTGCGTGAGCGTCATAAATCATTCGCTACAAGAGGGCACCATTATTCATGGTCGCAACACGGGATGATTGACGTTGGCACGATTCACAACCGGGTTCGTCCGACTCCCCACGCTTCGAGAAGAGGCGTGGGCATTCTACCTCTTGAGTGTTGGGTAATAATAAAGGCTTGTGTTGGTTGGGCAGAGGTCTGTCGATGAAAAAAGTGAAGACCGTGGTCGATGTTTTCGATTTAGGAACAGCAAGGTCTTGAGGGGAGCGTTCTGGGGGGCCCGTAGCAGCAGCGGCGGTGGGCAATCAAATACGTAGTTTTTTGGCTACTCCCCGATCACGGGCGGACAGACAGAATGTCCCGAGTACGATCCCGTCCAACTTGAACTACGGTTCGAATGCAAGGAGACTGCAGAAGTTGCAGCATGTATCAGCGTCGGTAGTTCAAGTCTGCGAGCGAACTCACTGGAGTAGTGTGTAACCCACGCGTGTTTTACGGGGCACGGCGGGTAGGAGCGGATGAAACGACATCTTCGATATCGACGGCAAGCGATTCGTGCCACTGCATATGCCACAACACGGTGCTCTCAGTAGGTACAAGCGATGGGGAAAGGAGAAGGCCTTCAACCACCTAACGATGCCGGCGGCGGGCGCGACGTTCCAACCAGAGGCGATGAAGAAAGCATCTACGCGCAGACATCATCCGACCCAGTGAGGGCAACTCACTTGTCCTCCTCCCGAAAGGTGGCGTCCTCCGACTGCCTCGCCGTGTTGGTGATGTGGGCCAGCACGTCCTCGTCCGCAAACGCGTCGCCCCCTCCCGCGCTCCCTGCCACGGGGTATCGCTTCGCCGCTCGCAGCAGCAGAACGGTGTCGTAGAGGTACACCTGGATGCACCCCACTATTAATAAATAGATACCGATCGCGGTGACGCAGGGCCAAAAAGCGGAGCGGAAGGTTAAGTGTACCCAGGTACGGATCTACGGAGATCTAGGTTTCGTGTGTCATGTTGGTAGACCGGCGGTCCCGTGCGTGAGACAGAGCGTCCCCGTTAATGACAAGGTCCTGAGGAGATACGCACTCACTATCCCAACACGGGTAGACGGGAAATAATAATAGCGTCATGAGCCTGTCAGATGCAAAACGACTGATGCACGAGTCTACGCGGAAGGGCCAAGCGCGGGGCCGATCCCTGCACGGCGAAACATTGCGTACAGCGCAGCGAGGGAGGCACGACATAATTGCAGTGAACGGGTCAGGCGTTCTGAACGCGCGGACAAGCAAGCCACGGCACCGACCGATCTGGAGTGCGCGCACTAGCTGCTTCTCGAACGCTTGCGTGCCGAGATCACGTCCATTCGTTTCCAGGCTACCCTTGAGAAGCCAAAGCCGTCGACAGTGGCGAGGGGCTCAGGAACCACACTATTAACCCGTTGCCGCAACGAAGAGCTTGCTGCGCTGGTTGTGTTGGCCAGGGAAGTGTTTGTGTGTACTCACCGGCCAGAGCGTACGCTCGGAGGTGAAACTTGCGCCCCTCCGCCAGCAGCGGCCTCTCCACGTACTCCTGCTCTCGTCCCGTACGCGATACCGTACCGTGGCCAAGGGCAAGTACCATGGTTATGGTTTGATAAAAAAAAAAAGCGCAGCATCACCGGGTTTCAAACTTGCACGCGCGCTTCCGCAGTATCACGTTTCACCAAGGGCAGAAGGTAAGGCAGAGACGGCAACTACCGTATGCATGCATGCGTGCCCCCTCCTCTTCCTCGCAGACTTAATTAAGCTCGCGATTCCCCTACCTGCAGCACCCACTCCCTGATGTCGGGGGAGTCGTGAATCGCCCGCCTGAGGGTCTCGAAGTCTTCCCCGAGGGCCAACCCGGCACCCTTGTTGAGGGTGGACGGCTTGAGTATCCATCTCCGCCGCGTCGCCCCCTTCCCCTCTTCCCTCTGCGTTTTATTGTCCAGGGAGTTGCAGAGATATGTACCGGCAGTGGGCGCGAAAGAATTGGGGGGATAGGAAGCGTTTTAAGGGGGATAGGAGGCGTTTCGAGGATGGAGAGCAATCGCCCCGCCGTTGGATGCTCGCTCGTCCACCGGGCGGATCAAATGGTTGATATGGGTAAGGGAAGCACGTAATTGGGTGGCAACCTGGGTCCGTTGTAGGGCGACATCATCCTCGCCACGTCCCCAGGTGTCGATTGTTGAGGGCGAGAAAGCTTAACAGAGAGCCGAGTCCGAAAGAAACTGCGTTCTCCCCCAAGCTAATCAGCGATTCAATTCCTTCCCACGTCTACTTTTCTTTGCGTGAGCTCGCCCTTTTCGACCTGCTAATACGCGCGCGGGCCTATGCAAGCTGGAGCAAGCTCGTGCGAAGTCATCATGTAAGCACCATCATAGCGCCCTACCCCCCAAGGCTACCAATCTCCGAACAAAAACGGCCATTCGACAACTCGACAGGGTGCGCTCGCCTCCTTGGCCCCGGTGAGGTTGACGTCTTCTTCTCCTGCCGTGACTCCTCCTCCTCCTCCTCCTCCCTCTTCGCCAGCTTCCTCCTTTCCGTCCTGTTCGATCCACTCCTGTGCGTCTCCCAGGCACCAGTCCAGCCGGGTCGCCAGGCTCACGCACTGCCTGACCCCTAGATCGGACCCGAACGCCGCGATGTCTCCTGCATCGCCCAAGAATCCACACCGCTCCAAAGAATAAGACATGAACGGCGTCGGGGGGGGG